CCCGCTCCCACTGACGTCAGCCCTACCGGTTCTGAGTCTGTGAGCGTTCCTGCTGTTCCTACTCCTAGTGGCCCTGCCCCCGGTGAGGAGGCTAGCAGCACTCCCTGCGATACCATCACCTCCGAGACCGTCTACCCCGTCGCCACCGAGACTGATGCTCCCTCTGTCAGCACCACCGATGTCCCCCCTGTCATCACCACTGCCCCCGCTGTCAGCTCCGAGCCCGCTCCCAAGGTGGTTACCATCACCACCACTGTGAGCGTCGCTGTTTGCGAGCCCTAAATCAGTCAACTACATGGGCTGAAGATTACGAGACGATCGCAATGGCAGAAACGCTCAATATGCCTCGTGTAAATACCTAATTATAATTCTAATTCGCCTGGTTTTACCCCGATCATGCGTCAATGCTCTTTGCGTGGGGCTTGCGATCTGGGGGAGTACATGGTTCACTGACAAGGAAACTTACGTTCTGGTTGTGTTTTAATCTTTTTTTGTGGATTCCCTTCAATGGAGTACATTCATTTTTTTACAATATACCTACTACTGCCTGTATAGTACTTGACGAATCTTAGTAATATAACGAGCATACTGTTCTCAACCCAGTTCAAGGCCGTATAACCTTATGCAGATTTACATTAGAAAGCCATTTTTTTTTGTTTTTTTTTTGTTTTTTTTTTTTTTTTTTTTTTTTTTTTTTTTTTTTTTTTTTTTTTAATAAAAAAAAAAAAGAGGGAAACTACGTAGTATCAACGAGAGATCATCACCCCCCATAGAATAGTCATACATAGTCCTCTCCCTATGGACAACATGACAGAAAACAGCCTGCAGAGTATCCACATGAAAAGCCAACGGCTAACGAGTGTCCTAAAATGCAACCGTGGACTGGATATCACTAGCTGATGTGACCTAGTCGATCACAATAAGAAGCGTTTATGTGATTAACAGAGCCTGCTTTTCTAAAATTGGGTTTTCGAAAAGGGATACCGAATCGAGCCGTTAGAAAAAAAAAAAAAAATAGTCGGATGCCGGCTTTCAGACTACTTATTCCTATTTCTGGGCGCGACGATCATCCCAACTATCGACGGGACGGACGAATTTTTGTTCCTTTTCTCCGTTCAGGAGATGGTCCGAATAGGGTAGGGAGTTGCGAGGTTTGGATTGAGGACTTTTATTATTTTCATTTTCATTTTTAGTGGTTTGTGAGCCGGTCATGAATGTTCCAATTATAAACCCATATTATGTATGCAACATACTCCGTCTGCAATGGGGAAGTAGACTAGTAAGTAGACGGTTGATGTTTGCTGATCTCCTTTGTCATCATTTTGCTTTTTCTTTATTCCTTGATGAGACTCGCTAATACTTTTGGAAGTGTATGTAGATGGTGTCATTCATTTCATGAAGCTTGAGATTCCTCCTATCTTTGATCCACTTCGAGTGTCATGAATTGTCACTCACCTTGTCGCTAGAGGCGGTACAACGCATTGAGACGGTTTTTTCGCGTAGAAGCTTCTCGTGTAGTTCGGTGCTGCATATTGGTGCACGAGGGGGTCGGATAGAGTGCATACTCTGCTATTCACTGCGTTAGTCTAAACACTGACCGTTTGGATAGATAGCATTCGGGGTTGTAGTTGCCATGACAAGCATGAAATCATTACTGGTTCAGCGTGAGAAAGAAATACCTTTAAACTCATTGACCCACCTCTTCAGGATCCTTCATCTCGTGATCTGACGAGTTGCGCTTCTCAGGTGGTGGCGACGACCGCTTTGCGGCGTTGTCTTCCTGATCAGTCACTCTCTGTCGCTTTTCACTACGGACGGATACAGAAGAGGTGTTACGCCGTCTGCGGGCAGCAGGAGCATATCGCTGAATAGAGCGACGTCTCTTCTTTTCCCTGTTGTGGCTACGGCTGCGACTGCGGGAATCATGACGGCCCGGACTGGAGCTGGTGCTGCGAGAACGGCCTCGTCCTCGGCTGCGGCTACGGCTGCGACTGATACTCCTCGAGTACCGACGTCTGCGGGTATCATCGCGATTTCTGCTGCGGCTGCGACTCAAGCGGCGATCGTCACGGTTCTTGCGGGCCTTTGCAAAATCAGCGGTGGATTCTTTCTTATCAGCTCTTGAAGAATAAGGCGAAGATCTTCTCCGTCTGGCGCTTCTATCACCCGGCTCACGCGACCTAGAACGAGATCTGGAATAAGAGTCTTTTCTGCGCCGGTCCTTGGGAGCAGGGGAACGGGATGAACTGTGGGAAGAAACGGATCTCCGTCTCCGTCGGTCTCTTCTGGGAGTACGTGAGCGTGAGGAATCACTGCGGGAAATGGATCTAGCTCGATCACCGTAATCAGGACTACGTCTCCTCGGCCTCCTGTCTCTGTCTGGAGATACAGAGCTGCCAGGCGATCGGCGACGCCTGTTTCTGTCCCTGCTTGGCTGGCGTTCGCGACGAGGGGGTGGTGAGCGAGACACGGAGGGAGAACGGGAGCGGCTTGGTGATCTAGAAGGGCGACGGTTCCTGCGCGAACCCGAGGGAATATAGGAGTCGAACTCGCGGCGTGAAGGCCGGTCCTGGAAGCGATCACGGCTGCGACGTCTGTCAAAGTCTCGACCCCCTCCGCGGCCACCACCACGCCTTCCACCTCTTCCCCGCTCAGAACGTTCCCTCCGCCTGACCTCCTCTAGTTCTCGTTCTCGGACCCGTTCTTGTTCCTTTTGCCGGCGAGCTTCTTCCGCCGCTTTTTCGGCTTCAATCTGTGATACAGTCAGTAGGGTAGAAGCGTTGCTAGGTATACTGTAACTTACCTTCTCCTGTATGAGTTCGAGCTTCTTAGCCTCCAAAAGCTCCTTCGGGACACCCTGAGGGTTTTCTTGCGCACTGAGGCATAGGGACCAAAGCTCCTTGCAAAACTTGGCAGTATCCTTATCCAAGAAACCCGTAAGCTGGATCTGCAACGACTTGACATCGGGCTAGAGATGAATGAAACAATTAGTATCATCGCGGAGTTCGTAAAGAGACGCAACGTACAAATCGAGATCCTTCGAGCAAATTGAAACAAAGCTCAATCACGACATCATCCTCATTTCCTAGGATCTCCGATATCTTTCCGGCAATCCATCTGTGACAGGGTCACGCGTCACGGTTAGCGTTGAATTGACGTTCGGGGAAAGCTCAGTGCACTTACTTCTTCATGACCTCGATATTGACCTTGGTCATGTCCACCTTCCGACTGAATTCGGGAGGGAACTTGGTCTGCCTCAGGAGCTTGGCATCTACGCTGGCCGCCATGCTTGCAAGCTGGTGGTCTGATATCGGACCTGCACTGGCGTTGGGGAAAGAGAACGCGTGAGACTCCAGTTATCAAGCGATGAGACTGCGCTGTTGGCCGCACCGACAGGCCGTAGCGCAAGGTAAGCTCGGTGAAATGTCGGGCCGGGCACCATCCAATGATACCCGATTGGGAAGTGCTGGAAAAGACTCAAGTAGGCGCTGTCTAAGGACCACTATTTTGATGAGGATAGGTCGAACAGAGCCTGGTTTAGTTCTTTTTCGACTACTATTGGCTTGTTGATGTGTGATTTCTGATTCTAAAAGTCATTACGGGCTATCACGTACTCGGACAGGCGCATAGTATCCACATTGCATTGATATTCAGCGGAACGCGTTCCGAGTAGCTATCGGCTTCATCTTAGTTGTATTGCATGTTATCATTGAAGGATTAGCGTAGTAGGGAATACATAGCCCTTTCAACCCACTATTGAATACATAAAATAAACATCATATCATACATGAGTACTTCATAACCACCCAAGGGAACAATGACACCAATATCCTTCCTAGTACTATCAATGCCCAAGCTCCATCAGAACACGATTCACATCCTCTCTCGCACGCGCCAGCTCCTCATCAACGGTTCCATCGGCATGCCGCGCTTTAATCTCGTAGTGTAAGTCGACGAGCTCCTTTGCGCGCTGGAGATCGTCATTTGCTTTTTCGCTTTGCTGGCTTGGGACAGCAAGGCCGCTATCCGCTGGAGAGAGCTCAGCGGGTATCCTTTCGTGAACAGTGACGAGTGCGAGGGCGTCATTGTAGTCCTGGACTCGTTAGCATGAGGAAGACTTAATTCCAGGAACTGGCCTTGTTGATTTGATTGAGCTACCATATCAAGGGATAAAAAGGCTACATACGCAGACTCGTAATGAGGTCAAGTCGGATAGTATTTCGGCTACTTGCATATTGATGAATGTGTATCTTGGTGTTGCAACCTAAGAAGAGTGATTTGCGAAGCTATAACAGTAAAGCTATCAGTATGAGAAGTAGTGAGAGCAAAGGGAATGTCTTGGCAGATATGCAGTATGCAAGTTCTACTAGTCTATGTAAGATGCATTCGATATGAGACTGTTTCATCCTTTGATAGAAGTCTATTTGTTTATCTTTCAGCAGTGACGTAAGAAGTCACCCAGTCCTGGATGGCGATCATGTTAGACCTAAGACGAGGAAGGATACTAATAATTTCGAATTTCCCCACAAAGTGAAATCCCCAGATAGTAATGTCCATGAGTCACCACCAGCATTTCCTATCAATTAAATCTACTACACGGGTAAACATATAGACAGATCGCAGGCATGAAGCTCCGAGACTCGGAGAATCCGAAGGCTTCTCCGCAGAAAGACTTCGGCCCCCAGTTCCGGCGCATCGGCTCTTCCCCGACGGAAATCACCTATATTAACATTGCCCCGTCCTCTCTCGCACACCGGCCCCTCATATTCGCTCAATTACATAAAATATAATTGCAATGGCAGCCTCAATTAAGGCCAATTGTCGCAAGGTCATTTGCATTGGCCGCAACTATGCGTGAGCTTCTTTCCCCGAGAATCATCCTAGGTAGCTCGTACGTCAGGCTAACGCTTATCTGCGAAGCGACCATATCACGGAGCTCAAAAACACCGCACCCAAGCAGCCGTTCTTCTTCTTGAAGCCCGCTTCGGCCATTCTGTGTCCTGGCGAGGGCCCCGTCTTGCGTCCTAAGGGAACAAACCTACACTATGAGGTCGAATTAGCGCTGGTGATGGGCAAGACACTTCGGGATCACGACCCGAACGATGAGAAGGGAGCTTTGGATGCTGTTCACAGTCAGTCCCCAGCGCTCGGATTGTTTCTTCTTTTCTCAAAAGGCAATTCACAGACAGTTTTGGATGGCTAATAGTCCATTGTCTCCTACAGGCTACCTTCTCGGCATTGACATGACCGCCCGCAACGTACAAGACGAAGCTAAGAAGAAGGGTCTCCCATGGTCCATTGCGAAGGGATTCGACACCTTCCTACCTGTCTCTCAAGAAATTGCCAAGTCGCGAATCCCCAACCCTCACGATGCTTTCCTTCGTCTAAGCGTCGGCTCCCAGATGCGCCAGGCCGACTCGACCGGGTTGATGCTTTACCGGATCCCAAGACTGCTGGCCGAGATCTCGCGGGTTATGACTTTGGAGAAGGGTGACGTGGTCCTGACTGGCACACCGAAGGGTGTCGGAGAGGTAAAGGCCGGAGATGTGATGAGAGCTTCCATAGAAGTCGACGGGAAGGAGATCGAGGAAGGCCGGATTGAGGTTGAGGTAAAGGATCGGGAGGGCCGTTACCTGTACGCTGAGACTTAAGCTGTTGATGAATATGTGATTGTATGAAGTTCCGTTACTCAAGATATACATACCTCAATGCAACACTTCATTGTGTGACCTTGCGCACATCCGGATATACGATACAAAGAGGTTTGATTCATGAATTCATCTCAAGAAGATCGTCTTCATCCACTGGTACTATAGGTATTACTCTTCGCTTTCTCTTCTTCTTGTGCTTGATCGGAGTGTTAGGCTTCGAAGCCTCCCCGGGTTTTCCTGAGCCTGCCTTCATTCGAACAGGCGATTTGACCGTTTGAGACTTCTTCTCATTGAGCTTGTTATGCATGACCTCGGCCAATACATCCCACGACCATCCGGCAGCATATAGCTTCCTTTCCATCAAATCTCGGGTAGCGGTATCTTCTAGTCCATCTACAAAGGCCTTTGCAATATCGCTGCTTTTCATCCACAAAGGCAATTGAATGCGGGTATCTATGGCATACGACCAATACGCCCCCAGCGGTCTCGCATTTTGTCTGAAGAGACGGTGCAAGTTCTCTTGCCCCTGCATGGCCATTCCATTGAACAGGCCTAATTCAGTACTGCGCCGTCCTTCAATCGAACTAGACCTGGATGGGCCCCATGTGGTCTCGGACAACGCCTGCAAAGAGTTTCCCCGTTCTCGCGCTGAAGCGGTGACATCCTTGGGCCCTGAGTCAGGAACAAGTATGTCAGACCCTACTCGAGCCATATCTGCTCTCGATCAGTTGACCAAATCGACAATACCCCCACCCCAAGCAACACGCACGAGTGCAGACAACTTCATACATGGCGAACAGAAGGCCTGAACCATACCAACTAGGAGGTAAATACTTACCGGCATTGCCATGAGATCCTCCTAGTAGTTCATTGACTCGAAAAGAACCCTTCTCCTGGGAAAATATCCTCCGAACCTCATTCATGATCTCTGTCTTCATGGACTCCAATACAAGGGACAACCCTTTCGAACGCGCAGCACACTCGTTCCCAACATTCTCAAGTTCCGCCTTCAATCTTCCGTTCTCAATTTCCAGGGCCTCGACGCGCCTGATCAGATTGTTGGTTCCATGTGTGATCCTAGTGTCAAGACACTGGAGATTCTTAATAGCATTCGTCTCCGCTTGCTTCACTTGTCGACTCAGTTCCTTGACGTTCTGGTTCACGTCGTTGATAGTGTCTACGGTTGAGCTAAGGTCGGCTTTGGCTTTATGGATTTCATCGGCCAGGTGAATGTTTTCGCGCCGGATTTCGTAGGCCCATAGGAGGGAGGAGGGAGTTGGCTCCCACTGATGCGGAGAGGGTTCCATTCGGACTTTATGGAATAATTAAGGCTGGTTTTGACAGGCAGGCAGTACACTAAATGAATCGGGAAGATATAGCAGGGTGTCTTAAAGATGGAAGCATTGTACGGTGGGAACGTGGGTTGGGGGTGGTCATCCCACCAACACAACAATTCAGGTCTAAAACATAAATCATGGATGGTATTACCTCTTTGTCTATTGTACTGAAAGTAGGTACACAACCACCCCAACGTCATGATCGTCTAATTGTCCACCCAAACTGCCTGAATGAACAAATCAATTTTTGGCCCGACCTTTCGATTAAGTATGTGCAGCATCCTTAACCAACCAGCGCGAGCTAGGTACAAAAAGGGAAAAAAGTTGGAAAAAGGCGGAAGAGAAACCATGAATTACAGCAATAATTCGCACAAACATGTCGCATCTCCATAAGCAAGAAAACATAGGAAACCATAAACAGCAACCAACAGAGACGCCCTCCGTTAGCCGCCGCGAGTAAAAATAAATGCTGGAGACACAGGAAGCCACTTTTGAAGGATTCTCCTTTGCCAAGAGAAGCACGACGATGTCATAACGCCTTTTCCACCGCAGCTTACCCTTGGACCGCTATTGGCAACTGCGATCGTAGTCCGCATCTTGAGGTATAAAGGTGGGGGTGTTTAGATGAGGTCTGTTGAGCAATTAGCGAAAGGCCCTGTGGGTCAAGATTGACTTGGGGAAGACACTTACCAGCAACGTTCATGGGCATCTCCTCGATCTGGGTGCTGTAGAACTGCTCGATCTCACGCATCATGCGGACATCGTCAGCAGTGACGAAGTTGATGGCAACACCCTTACGACCGAAACGACCACCACGACCGATACGGTGAATGTAGTTCTCACGGTTGGCAGGCAGATCGTAGTTGATGACCAGGGAGACCTGCTGGACATCGATACCACGGGCCAAAAGGTCAGTGGCGATCAGGACACGGGAAGAACCAGAGCGGAACTCCTTCATGATAACATCACGCTGAGCCTGCTCCATATCACCGTGCATGGCGGAAACAGTGAAGTCACGGGCAGTGAGCTTGTCAGTGAGCCAGTCGACCTTGCGGCGGGTGTTGCAGAAGATGACGGCCTGGGTGATGGTGACAGTCTCGTAAAGATCGGAGAGGGTGTCGAGCTTCCACTCCTCCTTCTCGACAGCAATGTAGAACTGCTTGATACCTTCAAGGGTAAGTTCCTGCTTCTTGACCAGGATACGGATGGGGTCGCGCATGAACTTGGTGGTGACCTCAAGGACATCCTGGGGCATGGTGGCAGAGAGCAGGGTGACCTGGGTAGACTGGGGGAGGAGCTGGAAGATGTCGTAGATCTGCTCGGTGAAACCACGCTATTTATTTGATCAACACTGTGTGTTCCATGGGCGTTCAAGGGCGGGTAGTGACTTACAGACAACATCTCATCAGCCTCGTCGAGGATGAAGAGCTTCATGCTGTCGGTGCGCAGGACACGGCGCTGGATCATATCGTGGATACGACCGGGGGTACCGACGACGATCTGGGGGCCCTCACGGAGAGCGTTCATGTCATCACGGACAGCAGTACCACCAATACAGGCGTGGCAGTTGATGCTCATGAAGTCACCAATGGCAACAACGACCTTCTGGATCTGCTGAGCCAACTCACGGGTAGGGGCGACAATGAGGGCCTGGCAGGCCTTCAGGTTGGAGTCGATCTTCTGGAGAGCGGAGATGGAGAAAGTGGCAGTCTTTCCAGTACCAGACTGGGCCTGGGCAATGACATCGTTACCTACAACCGGTTAGTTGACCACTCATTAACCCTAGAAGACGGGAAACCCTACCCTTGATGATGGGGATGATGGCACGCTGCTGGATAGCAGAGGGACGCTCGAAACCATAGGCATAGACACCTGGAAAAAACCCCCCGTTAGTACTTCCTGTTATTGACGTCCTTCTGGTCGAAAAAAAGGTATCACATACCGCGAAGCAGCTCAGGCTTCAGGTCCATGGCGTCGAAGGAGTCGGTGATATCATCGTAGTTAGACTCGATGAGAGCTGTTGGTGTGAAGAGTCTGATTAGCCTGGTTCTTGAAGTCTTGACAGTTGATGCTTGTTCTGTGTGGTGTGGTGCTTTTGTCTTTTTTTTCCTCTTTGACCCGACATCGAAGAAAAAAAAAATGACCAGCGCCACAAAAAAACCAAAAAAGTCCGTCGAATGGACTTAGAGACAAAAGTTATGGAATCCACGATAAGAACATACCCTCAGGGACTTCTTCCAATCCTTTATCGGCAGACATGATTGCGACTGTTGTAGAGAAATGATCACAGGCGAAGAACTGTGACCGGAAGACAGTGGGGTTTTGGGTGTGAACTGAGTGAGGGTTTCTTAGCGACAAACGATCCCAGTGGGGTGGCCGCCGTCGCAGAAAATCAAAGTCGGAAGAACTTTCACGGAAAGGAGAAAGACTAGACCTAAAACTCTCAAAAAAAAGAGAGAGACTTCACAAGATCTAGTAGATGTGGGAGTTGAATGAATATTTTATTTCACTGACTGTGTGGAATAGGGAAAGAAGAAGAAGGAAAAAAAAAAAAGAACAAAAAGAATAGCCAACCTTTTTGTCCTTCCTTTCTTTTTTTATTTTTATTTTTTTTTTATTTTAATTTTTTTTTCTTCTGCTGCTGCTTCTTTCCTCAAGCCGCAAAATTTTAAAATTTTTTTACCGGGTTAGCGCCAATCAGTTCTGCCCAACGGATCTATACCGCCTTCCGTAAATAGTAACCTACCCACGTTTTTTGCCTGGTGCGTTTTTGCCTTCGCGGTTTGATTCGAGCCTGTCATAATTTTTATAATTTTTTTTTTTTCTTATTTTCTATGATGGTTACTATCGGAAGTAGAAATTTTGCCATCAGAGTCATTCGATTTTGCCGGTTTATAGTTTATCGCCCCTTTTAATTTGTTCCAGGGGTTTGCACTGGACTGGCTTATTGTCCTTTGGCTCTTTCGCATTTCTTCATATTTCTTTTCTGTTGGCGGGCAGTATCAAACCCCACCCGAAAGGGAAGGCCTAACGCTTGTTTCCAAAATGCCGGACATCGCTTCACTGGACAACCACGATTTGGTCGGGCATGATGCAATTCCCGGCCATCCTTTGGGGGTGAAGCCCAGTGGCAATGCTTTGCTTGCCCAGGAGAATCTTCGTGCTGCGATTGGAACCTTCAATTTGTTACCCGATGAACTGATCTTAATATTACTAGAGTGTCTTGATGGACGCAGTTTGCTGCGTATCGGGCAGACATGTAAAGCCTTCTATGCGTTTACTAGAGCCGAGGACTTTTGGAAGTCTCTTTTCATTGGGTAAGAATTTTATAGATTGGAACTTCCTCTTCCATTGTGCTTCTTTTTGTTGGATTTTGCGATTGTTTTTGATGTATATCAGTTCTGGAACGGGATAACTGGGAACGAATTCTGGGATGCGTGTGATCGTATAGGACCAGGGATATTGCCCGTGCTGTGCAGCCTTTGTGTTATGCCTATCGTATAATACTAGAACTTCAGTAGCTGGTCGTGTACTAAGATTGTTTTAGATCTCCACCAGCCTCGTTTACCTGGCAAGGAACATGGCGGTCTACCTATCTCAACATCCCTTCATCTAAAGCAGCCATCCTAGACTGCTCGACGTTGTACTCGGATGCCCTACACCGTCCCTTCTACTGCGCGCATATTTCCTTGGACTCCTACGTCACCAACATCCCGCCCAGAAACCAAATCGCTCGTTTGCCGAACCTCTCCCCGCTAGAATTTCATGAGAAATGGTCCGACACTCCATTTATCCTGACCGAGCCTGTCAAAGAGTGGCCGGCCTATCGAACCTGGACCGTTGAGTCGTTGTTATCGAAATATGCGGAGACGGTATTCCGTGCGGAGGCTGTGGACTGGCCGTTCAAGACATACGTGGAGTACATGAAGAACAATTCGGACGAGAGCCCTCTCTACCTATTCGACCGGGCTTTCGTGTCCAAAATGGACCTCAAGGTCGGTCAACCCGATGAGGAGCCCGACGCCACATATTGGCCGCCACCATGTTTCGGAGAAGACTTCTTCTCCGTCTTGGGTAATGACCGCCCTGATAGGCAGTGGCTGATCATTGGCCCCGAGCGGTCAGGAAGTACTTTTCATAAGGATCCTAATGCCACTAGCGCCTGGAACGCGGTAGTCCGCGGCTCCAAATACTGGATTATGTTTCCCTCGTCGTCCAAACTCCCCCCACCTCCAGGAGTCTATGTCTCCGAGGACCAGAGTGAAGTGACATCCCCTCTGAGCATCGCAGAGTGGCTTCTAGGATTCCATGCCGAAGCCCGGCGCACACCGGGCTGCATCGAAGGTATCTGCCAGGAAGGAGAGATTCTGCATGTGCCCTCGGGTTGGTGGCATTTGGTGGTAAACATCGAGCCGGCCATCGCAATCACACAGAACTTTATCCCGCGTGCACACTTGACCGCAGCTTTGGACTTCCTGAGTAACAAAGCTGATCAAATTTCGGGATTCAGAAAAGATGTTCACAACCCTTATGAGCAGTTTGTGAATAAAATGCACGAGGCCCACCCAGATTTACTTGAACAAGCACTTGATGAGCTAAAAAAGAAAGCTGAGGGCAAAAAGCGGAAATGGGATGAAATTGTCCACGGAAAATCAGAGCAAGACGATGCTGGAGACTCAGCTGAAGCAGGTGGATTCAGTTTTGGATTTGGAGATGACGGGAGCGACGTGGAGGTTCCCTGATCCATAGGTTTGATTATGACTGATGAACAAGACCGACTCCAGGTCAGAAATACAAAGACACCATTATGTGATATGCGGTATACGCTATTGAGCGGCTCACCGCTAAGCTTTGCCAAGCTTGAAACTTTCCACTAATTCTGAGACGCAACAATTATCTGAAAGGGACTGATCAATGGCAAGCAACGGTCTTTGCAGCTGACATATTCTCCCCGAACACAAGATACCCTACGAATGCTCCAACGGCAACTGCAATCATGACCAACCCATTATACGTCATGAACAGCAACCTGGCCAATTAGTATTTAGATCGAGGATCTGTCACCAGAAGAAGGGGTTCGAGCTCACATGATAAAGAAACTATAGAAGACTTGCACAGCATATAATGCGGCCATGATGAGCTTTCCCCGCTGCTCCACAACCCTCCTGTTGTCCCTACCTACAAGTAGCGGTGAGCTTTCGTCGCAGGAATGAGGAGCATGGCTTGAAGGGGCGGTGGCCGGGGCAGATTCGCCGACGTTCTCATTGCCTTCAAGGTGTCAATGGAATCTGACTCAACCAAGCCCCCTGACAGATTCTCCCCTCGAAATGATTGTATATCGCATAGTAAAAGCAATAGATAAAATATAAGGCTTACCTCCCACAGCAGGCGTATTGAACGCATTCAGCCGTTGTGCATGCGCTGCCTCATACCGCCTAGTCAATTGTCGAATACCCTCGTAACCCGCCGTCAAAAGCACAATAACAACCAAGGAGACAAGGAGGGAGAAGGGGCCGTCGACACGCCACTGGCGGAATATAATGCAAAGGTCTTTAGAGGACCATGTAAAGAGCATCTAGCGTTGCTGTCAGTTAGACCCGTCATAGATTACCCCAAGTACATCCCAACATAATAAATTATAAGCTCACATTCATATTACACTGTCCTCCCATGTCCATATCCCCATGTCCATGACCATGGTCCATATCCATCCCCGCGTGGTGCATTGAGTGGTCCATATTGTAATATCAGCCTGATAGCTTAGGAAGTACGGAATAAGAAACAGATCTTCTTATAGAGAGAACAGGAGACTATTCGAAAGGTATAGCACAGAGATATTTCCCAAGTATTTAGCAAGAAAAGCAGCACAGGGTTGCTGACGCCATCAACTCCTCCCTAGATAGGCCGCCGCACATGTTGGACTGATTGACCGCCCGGCAATTCAGCAATGCAAACTAGCCAAACACCATCGATAAGACGTGCGGCCAAATCCAGACCTTACCTCTTTCTTTCCCCGTTCTAGATCGATCGAGCAGGCCAATTGCCAGGAAGAACCGTGGAAATACAGCTCAAGTCCAGTCACGAGAAATTTTACAACCCCGTTTAGTAAACCGAATTCTGAACATCGCGTGCAAAGCGAAGCAACAAGCATGACGGAATCCGCCCCTCCGCCCTCCGTCCCCAACACGACCGCAACGCCGGCAGGCCCAACAACCACCGCAAGTCAATCCACGGCCTCCAACAACAACAACAGCAATGGAACAGCATCGGCTCAGAGCGGCGCCAACCGCGGCCTACCATACTATGAGAAACTGCGACGCGAGCTACGCGACACGTTACAGAAGAAGCGATTAATGGATAAGAGTATGGTATGTTGCCTATTGGATTCATCCCGTGCGGCTTGTTACATCTCCCATAGTTTAGAAGGCCATTTCTTTACCTATTACAGTGCTAATACAGGCGGACATGCAGGCCCAACTCGAAGATCAAATCTTTCGCTTCGAACAATCCTACCTCGAAGAAACAACTGCCGGGAACATCATTAAGGGATTCGATAATTATATCAAGGGCTCATCTAGCGGTGCCGGCGCTGGCGGGTCATTGGCGCTTTCTGGAGGCGTAGGTGGCGCCAGAAGAAAGGCACAGGTGACGGATGCCGATCGCGTTTTCTCGAGAAGCTCGGCGAGCTTTATGCGGGTATGCTCTTTCTTTTAGCCGCAGTCTTTGGTCAGACCACGGGAATCAATGGCTAATATTATCGAAGGATTCGACACCATCATCTGTTCAGACTACGCCGTCGCATGCCCCAACCCCGACATCTGTCAATGGATCGTCAGGGAAACCGAATGGCGATTCTTCTGCGCCTGGAAGTGTGAAAGGAGGATCGTCTTCGTCGAAGAATAAGAAAAAGTCAAATGCTAATAAGGATAAGAATGATGACGATGATGAAGCGGGAGATAAGCCACCCACGAAGAGGTTGAAAATCAGCTACGGAAGGGATTGATCAGTCGATTTTAACGGGAGTTTCGAGTTGATTGCTTGGGTTTATCCTGCTTTAGATATGGGATTACGGATCGGATCGGTGATGGAGCTTATAAGGCGCTATGGCTTTGGCTTTTTGATTCAGCTAACGAACATCTGCATGGACTTTTTCTTCTATATACTCTCAAGATATCCTTTGTATTATCAAGCGCATAGCTTATCAAAATTACCTCCAAAGAGAATGATACACGTATCGCCCGAAAACACTTGACTACAGTTGCAAACGGTAGGTAGCAACCTCATACGCCCTTAACTCAATGCCAACATCCGTGGTTTCCTTACCCTTGGTAACGGCAAGCGCTGTCTCATTATCCTCAAGTATGTTGCACTTCCAGACCTTCTTGACTGGCAACCTAGAGTGAATAGTGCCCCGGCTCTTACCGCCAAGTGACTCGTAAATACGCAGGATAATGCTCTTTCCTGCGCGACGGGGTAGGTTATCTCGGGAGACATCATCGTCATCTTCACCACGCTTAACCACATCCAAGATGAGCGATGGGGAGCCGCTGATGGAGAGAGAGTTAAAGATATCCTTATTCTCAGAGCCAAATGCTGACTCAAGAACAAGTGGATGGTTGAAATTGTACCCTGCTCGGATGGTGCGCGAATCAAGAGGCCCAGCGTGAGGCAGGATCGCATATCGTATGTGATGACGGCCCATATCAGCGTGCGCGTCCGGTGCTTTGGGTGCTCGGAGCAGAGATAGACGCATTAGGTTGCCACAGGTTGCAAAACCGTATTTGGAGTCATTCAGGACCGACACGCCATATCCATTCTCCGACAGATCGGCCCATTTGTGGCAGCACACTTCAAATTTGGCCATATCCCAGCTAGAAGAGTCAGTCGGGTCTAACTTTCATAGTGAACAGCGATTTGCTTACCTGGTGTTGTAGTGTGTTGGTCGTTTGATGATCCCATATTGGGTCTCGTAGGATGCTTCTGTATTTGTGATGTCCACAGGGAACTCTACCTTGAGGAATTTCATAGTCTCTCGCCACTCAACCTCACTATCAAACTCTACGTATGATGGTTCATCTCCGGCAACAGCAGAAAGGCTGATTGTTGTCTTAGCCCAGCTGTTCTCACTGATCTGAGTTTCGGTGACGACACTGGCGCGATATGGGTCGTTCTCAGCGATGGTCGTTCTACTGGAGTGCAACTCCTTCCTTGACTCCAGATGGAAAACTTCAACATCCCAAGCTTGCCAGTAAAGCGGCTTATCATCAAAGATAACCAGCTGCCCAGCCTTGCCGCCCTTCGCGATCACCTCGCGATCTGCCTCAACATCGAATAGGGATGTGATCACACCATTGTGGATGTCAACCCTCAACTTTGTATTCTCAAGGCGGAACACCCCAGGCCGGATCTCCGACACGGTCACTCGAGTAGAAGTGGCTGGGTTGGCACGATACTCTATGAGACCCGTCTTCCCGCTAACCACGGCATACTTGCGGCGGTTTGCTTCTTCGAACCCAGTAGGGAGCTTGACAACCTCCGAACGGTGCCAAGGCAGAGTGTTGATTGCTACAAGGCTCTTGGAAGGTTTCTTGTCTCCGAATCCAAGAGACTCAAGGGCTTGTCTCCTGACTTTCTGGCCGGTTTCGAAGATCTCGGCATAAAGTTTGTCAGAGTCATCGTAGCACATCTCGATGGAACTGCCCGGCAGACAGTCGTGGAATTGACATAGGAGCACGCCCTCCCACATATCATCTATCTCCTTCTTGGGATATCGATAATTGCCACTAGATTGCGAGACAGACGCGAGGGTGGCCAAATACTCGATCTCCCGAAGCAAGAACTCAGACTTGCGATTATTTCTCTTGGTGTTCGCTTGAGTAGTATATGTACCCCGGTGTAGCTCGAAATAAAGCTCACCATACCATGTAGCGAATTGTGTGCCCTCCTCAACCTTCTTCTCTAGTCTTGCGAAGAAGTCGTCCACTGACTCGCCCATCTTTACGCGTGGAAGCAGGCCTGTCTTATCACTCAGGCCACGGCAGCGGCGCAGCTTCTCCAAATGCTCGAAAGTCGGCCCACCTCCGCCGTCACCCTTTCCGAACACAAGAAGCGATGTGCTATCGTTGTCCATGGACTTGTGCTGCGTGACACTGCGTTTCACATCACCGAAGTGAGCCGACGCAGTGTACGTCTCTGATGGCGCCATATGGCACATAACTTGGCTGCCATCAAGCGCAACCCACTGGAAGGTAGTGTGTGGGAAATTATTTATGTTATTCCAGCTAAGCTTCTGGGTAAAGAAGCGACTCATGCCAGCTAGACGGCAGATCTGGGGGATCTGCGTTGAGTAGCCAAATGTATCGGGTAACCAAAACGTCGTACAACGCTCACCGAAGTGGCTTTCAAAGAAACGCTGGCCATAGAGGAACTGTCTCACCAATGATTCTCCACTGGGCATGTTGGTATCATGCTCAACCCAGCTACCACCAATCGGTTGGAAGTGACCCTTCTTGATCCATCCCTTCACGCGGTCGAAGACTGAGGGGTAGTATTGTTTCAACCATTTGAATTGCTGTGCCTGCGAGCAAGTAAAGCGGTGTTCCGGATATCTCTCCATCAAATCACACTGATTTGACCATGAGCGAGCCACTTTACGCTTAGTCTCTGCCCAGGGCCACAGCCAGCACGTATCGATATGGCAATGCCCGATTCCGTAGACAATTGGTTGTGTATCAGTATCATACACCTCCGATGAATCAACTTTGTCACCGAGGTATCTCCTGGCGATCTTACGTCCTTCCTTGATGGATTCCTGGCTCCCACTACCAGCAATGAAAGCGTCCATAATAGCGTTAGCTACTATGTTGGCTTCATGGGATTCCCAGGAATCTCCAGGAAACTCTCGAGCAGCATCTACATGATGTTAGAACAGCTAGTCAGTAGACACAACGGAGAGTGGATAAAACAAAATGCAGGTTTGAACTCCATACCTCCGATTATCCAGAAATCATAGAACAATGCTCGCGCCTCAAGGTTAACAGCTGTGATCTGTGCTTTGTGCAGGGTAAAATATTTATCAGGAGCTGGTGGTTGAATCGAATCCCCGCCAGGTGCATTGCCAAACATCCCATTACAAGCCATTTCGATATAGAAGGTATGCTCTTTCCCATCGCGCCAGGCGTCAGGGATGATCCACTCGATACGCTCCCCGCCACCAGTGAGGCCTTGTAGCGGGTGACCATCTTCGGTCCAGACTAAACCCTCATTATTCGCATCCCAATGAAACTCCAGCCGCTCTTTTTGACGTAAGTCCTGAGGAACTATCAAGTGGATGCGGAACCAGTGAGTAGACCAACTAGGACCAAATGAAGCACCGATATGTGTTGGCTTGAAGTCATGTGAGGTTGCCTCTTCAAACGTAGGGCGCTCTAAATTCGGGACCGAGTATACGGAGAGCTTAACGTGGTCTTTGTCAGAGTTCACGGCTTCATAGAATTTACTGTAGGGCATTAGACACATGTACTAGTGGCGTGACTAGCGATTATGTTTACATACGAAACGAGATTCTGTCCCTCGTACTGGCCGTTAGCTGTAAACTGTCTCAAACGATCTGTATAGATGCCATGAATGCGTTGACCGACGGGGCCGCTTGGAGCTCGGGGGAGAGAGCTAGAAGCTTGTCGCGGAACGTCTCCACCCATGATAACGGTTCCGATCAATTGTGGGTAATGATTAAGCTTATCAGTATATCAGAGAGTGATGATGTCTGCATCGGAGCAGGGATAGAGGATGGATGTTAGAGAGTGTGTCAATTGAGAGAGACAGCAAGAGAAGGAGTGGAGGGGGGGAGGAAAGGCAAAAGAGCTAATCACTTCCAGGGTGGGATCCAGGAACGAAACAGCAGGTGACGCCGTTTGCATTCCAGCTACGACGTAAATGCGGAGAAATCCTGTGACCTGGCCATGGCGGGGAAACCTCCAATCCGGATGAGAATGGAATGTGCCCATTGGAGCCAAGAACCAGCACCTACCTACATGATGTATCACCGATACTAGTATTCAGGTCTTCTTGGGTTCAAACATCCTATGAGCACAAGTACAAAATAAGAACTTAAGATACTCATAGGGGAAAAATTCTATACTAATAACGCTACTTTTCCTAGCTCTGCCCGGAATCCCAGACTTGAAAGCTAGCCAAACCTGTTCAGAGGCCCCAAGTGCCTCATCACATTCAGTCAACAAAAGAGCGAATCGCTAGCGTTCATGCAAATTCATCATAACTCAGGCAACAATAGTAAAGGTGTATCGAATGTCATGCACATAAACAATCAATTCCCCCAGGAATCTAACCATAACGCCTAGCGTAACTACCTCCGGGATATCGAGAATAAGAATATGGAAAGTGTACAGGGAAACTCAGAAGAAATGGGAGGAAAGAAAAGAAAAAAGACTGCAAGAAAAAAGTGGGGGAGTAGATAGAGAAAGACAGAAGGTGAGACGGGCCATAAAGTGGATCAACGATGTAGATGATACAAGATGCAGTAAGACGACTAATCTGCCAATGCCACTAGTTATGCGCAGTCAGATCCAGGGATCAACCCGACCGTAGGTAGTGTATGGGTTGACCGGACCAATTAGTCTGATCTTGGATTTCAATTGTCTTCGTCTTCGATCGACCTGAGCCTGAATTATCTTCTGTCTCGCTCCATCCAGCGCTATTAGGACATGGCTCGTTCCATCCTGCAACACTCTCACGCAGAATCGTGTGCCTTGCTGTAGTGTAGAGCATGTTGATTGTCCGGTCTTCGAAGATGTTTCATATTGAAAGGTTGTGGCCTGTTTCCGATATTTCGGAAATCTTACATTGCCCCTTTGCCGATAACTGATCCTCTTTTCACGTCCGGGCTTCTCCCGCGTGACTGGTCCATACCTTTGGTAAGTTGAAATGCGAACGACTGGCTGTTTCTTCTGATAGGATTTTATCGAGTTCACTGTTCTATCGCTTTCGTCCTCACTTGAACTGCTGCCCATCGAGAGCCGCTTCAGGTCGGCAGAGAGATAGAGAAAGTTCTGCTGTGGCCCTGTGCTTCCACGATCGGAATAGTTAGAGTAGTTGCTAGAAGAAGTCTTCCGGGAACATCTGTATTCTTCAGGAAACTCAGAGGGGGCTGTCGACGCTCGTGGTCGTCGCTTGGGCTTGGTTTTATCAATGGAGTTCTTGGATAGCCTCCGTTGTACATAGGAGCGGATAGATTTGCGTACATCAAGCGCAAGTGCTCGCTTGTCAGGCGAAGTACAACGAGGACTTATCTTCGTAAAGTCGAATGCTGCTAGGTTCAGCCGATTGCTGTTCTGCTTCCGAGGCGCAGGTGGAAACTTGGGATACCCAGGCGGCAGGTCTGATGGCATCGCAAGCTCTGGGAAGAACTCCCACTTTTTTTCTCTAAAATAATGATTAGGACCGGCGCGAGTTGCCGTCGGTAAAGGCCGAGGACGGTGATGATCATCACACAATGTGGTGAGCGTCAGAGGTGATGGTTCTGGTTTGTTATAAGGCTTGACGGGGGAAGAGCGATCTATACTAGAGATAGGAGAATGTTCGACGAATTCGTCCAGAGTATCCGAGGGTGAACGAACACAAACTGGGTAGCCTTCTGACGACGCATCAGACGTACGGCGAGTTTCAAAGCTGACATCTGTGCTGCTGTCGTCGCTCCATCCCATCGAACTCTCCATCGAGGGTGTCTCGGGTAGTGGTTTCGCAGGCAGCTCGGGCAAAGGCTTATCCAACCGAAGTGCTGACCGAGCAGCAGGCTGAGGTGTATATGGAGGCACGACTTTCTCTAGTCCCTCGAGTGACCGAGATGGTCTCACTGGAGGAGCCTGTCTTGGGACAGCGAGAGAGTTCGGTGAAAGCATGGCTGAGATCTATATTTAAATAGTGTTCGTGGTGGAGAAGAATGTTCTATCTGTCCCTTCCCCGAGGAAAGAGGGGAGGTAATCGGGACAGGACGGCGGTGCGAGAAAGAGGTGTTGATAATAAGCAAAGTAGTCCAAGAAGCAAGCAACCACGCCTGTGTCACTTGGAATATCGAATAGGGCGAGATTATGCCCGATAGTGCCGTACAAGGCTTCCAAATCCCAAAGCTCAATATTATTTATTCTTAACTGCGTGATGACGGTCACAAGACCCCGGTCCCCGCAAAGTCAGCTTGTGGCTTGAGCCCTAATCCTGGCCTGCAGAAGAATTCCCAACAGCGGACCACGCGGGACCATCTTTCTTTAAGAAATAAATAAAATGAGCGAGGCCTTGGGGGGTGCAGGTAAGAAGAAATAGAAGCAAACAACCGACAAAGAAATTAGAGATAGTGTGATATAAAGGGGTGGAAGATGCAGCTAAACGAGGCAGCCAGTTGGGGAATCATAATAATACTCGAGTATTATTATCCACATCCCTGGATAGAAATATCCGGAAATGGCAGCCCAAGAAATAAGAGACTCATCCAAAGTGTTGTGGTCTGGTCGTGGGTCTCCTGCAGGATTGCCATGGTCGTGGTCATCATGGGCAACAATAACCTCATGGACCGACGACAGGGTGACACACCCATGCAAGGGATACTCTGGTTTTGCAGCGCTTGCACCGATATCAACCGCCAAATCGACTATCGCAATTAATAGATGACGAAAGAGTTCGTCCTAGAAGCATAATTTCTGGAACACGGGAAATAAACTCATTACTAGAACTAGTCGATAGAGGTTATGTGGCATCTAGAAAGGGTTGAAAGTATAGCGCTGAAATATATCCGAAAAGGTAGACCTGGAAGGTCGTGCCCGCAGCGCAGCAAAGAAATCGTCCTTGGGGTTGGACAACACCGCACTGAGCAGGTGGATCCGGTACCTGCCGTGGTGCCCAGTCCCCACACTCTTAGGGGATCATCGTCCTTGACACCGCAATTCCCTTGAGGCCGATCCAAATGAGTGGAGCGTTCACTGCACCGTCAGCAACCAGTATGAACTCGAAGGAAGTCGAAGGCCACTAAACTTCTGTACCAGCGCTCGATCGCGTTAGACGCTCCATGTGTTCATTCTCCACAACAAAGAAAACATTCTATGCCATGAGCCGCCACATTCCTAGTCGCCTTTTCGCCCGATACTAGTGACAAATGCGAGGACGGATAAGAATCGTATCCGCGTGTTCTCACTTTTCTTTTTCCTATTCCTCTTTTCCTCAAGAGGCTCAACTTTAAAATGGCTATGTATCTGGGTTGCGCTGGTCCATATACGCCTAGAGTCTTCGTCCGCCACAGAACACTGGATTCATGCCACCCATACAGTTGGATCTGTCACATTTAGCGTCTTGCGGTGAACACCGCTTAAATCCTATCTCGAAATTAAACTTCCAGTGACAGTGTCATCGACTCATAGTACAGGAACAAGATATGACGGTGTAAAGCAAGAAAGAGAACCCCTCTTCCATTTTTCCTCCATGTGGACCTCAAAAACTCTCCTCCTGATTCCAAGGACTTGGAGCTGGGCCCGGATATCGTACCACGCTAATTCGGATAACCCTAACCGTCACCTCTAATGCCTTATGTCCTCCGATTGTTGAAGTTCCTTATTCAAATAGCTCAACTTTTTTCTTTTCCTTGTGTAACAGGGAAATCCTCATTGCCCCTCATGTTGGTATAACAATCATTCAGTAGGACGAAGCATGAATTGACTATGGCTGAACTTAGTAGACTAGTACCTACCTGTCTGTTCGCTGTGATGGTAGTACCCGTTACATGCAGCAAAAAGTTTCGTAGTACTAGAATCTCTACCAAAACCCAATTATTGCTACGTTTTACGCATTATCAAAACGTAATGCAGTTTGGCTAGTTAGAAGTTATTCTCGGCTCTTTAGGTAACACCTCGAGCAAGAAAAACTCCTGTTCAGAGCGGAAGTGCCCCGAGCCTGACCATTCTTCACACAATGAACTGAATTAAGCTTGAAGTTATGGATAAAGATTACTTGGTGGAAGGTTACGAATTTGGTCCATCACCAGGAGCTCATTTCTGAGATTTTCCATAAATAGCTGAGTTGGTTCCCAAATGGGGAATTTCACGAAACATCATTACTCAGGTGACAGCCAGGCGCATAACATCAGGGAAGGGGTAATTAAATAAAATAAAACGAAACTTGAGGAAATGCAGAACACATCACACCTCCTGTGAGCGAATTCTTTTTTGCATGCACACGCTAGAAGCGATGGTGCCGAATGCCACCCATGGCAACCCAAGGATATGGACACATTCTTCCATTATTCAAAGACAAATTGTCTTCTAGGCCTTACCTGATTTGTTCACAATGAATGAGACTTGAGGCATATCCGCGCAGGCTTAGCAAGCTATAACTTACCTACGCGACTAGCCCGGACACCAATATGACAGTTTCTGGGATCTCCCTGGAACGGGTTCCTCTATCCCTGCACTAGACCCACTGTGATGGTAGTAGCTATCCCCCATGGTTCATGCTCGTGTCTGATTCCCAGCCTTTCAGTCATTAGTTTCCGTGTCGCTCGCGTAATCACATCTGTCCTACCCAGGATACCTCAGACATCATCCTAGTCTTCTGGGTATCCCTGTGCTGCAAGCAACCCCTGTTCGGTAAGGCCGCTTGGAGCGGCTGAAAGAGACTGGCAGTATCCCAAGCGTGGTTCGGACATATTTCGAATTAGGGCTCGATCAGCCCTTGATAAGTCCAAGTCGCGGCCGAGGGAGCACTGTCACCGAGCAAGGTTTCATTTATCCCGAGAACAGCTGACTGGCTCGTGCTATCCCTGGTGATCCAGGCTTCCGACAGGGGGCAAGGGATGCCCCCCGTGAAGCGGAATAGGAGATACACCCGGAGTTAACAGTAAACTTGCGTTCTGAGGTCCAACCCGTCACCCAGAGGATGTGTTAGATCGGAGCATCGGATCATAAAATGATAGATAAAGTCCCCGTTCTAAAACATAGATCAAGGGGTTTGGAACCTACTATACCTAGTACAGCTCAGGCTACCCTATCCACGTAGAAACTAACACTCAACCCTCCCCAACGATATGATACACAAGGTTACTATGTGTGCATGCACGGTAGTTCCTTTTCATATGTTGATACGCAGTTACTAACTCATGGAAAGAGAGTCTAGACGGTCTTGTTAGCTTTTAGCAGGATTCCTTCTCAGAAAATGGCAAAAAAAAAAAAAAAAAAGAGTAAATGACCGTAGGTTAGGTTACTAGGCCCCAGATATGTCCCATAATCAGTAGTGTCCGTCAGCAGTAGCACAATAGGTCCAACCAGCGACGCCACTTTATGGAATTCTTTGATAGTTTGTTACTGGTGACCAGAAACGTGGCGATAGAGTTTGGCCTAACAAATCCTCCCTACGTACAGTATGGCGTACTCGCATGCATTCTTCCGGAATGCATCCTCCTGGGCATATAATTAGCAACACGACCGCCTTGTGCTTCGTACCAACCGATAAATGATGCCTGGTGTTATAGACTGTATGTCGCTCTTCTTGATTGAGCAGCTCCTTAATCTACTGTGTAATTTGTAGTAACTTACTAGGAAGGAATACTACTAGCTAGAACGTCGATAGAAGAATTAATGAGTGGCGGGGCGTGAGTTGCTCCTAGTGTCGGTGCATAAATCGCATCGTAAAGGTTCATAGCCCTGGCGAGTCCAGTGGAGTTTATGATTTACGAAATCAAATCCGGATAGTCGTGGAAGAAGATTTAACAGTGACCAAACCTCGGACATTCAGAGCCCTACCTTGCCCAATGCGAGGGTTGCATGTACACCTCTTACTGTTGAACTTGAAGGCACCAAAATAGCTAGTGAGATGGGGTATTTGGCCTCTAACGCTTACATCAACTACCATACATTGAATAGTTGAAACAGTGCAAGTGCAAACTTCCAAGGGGTGGCGAACGGGGGAAAGATCCGGGCCACATAGTATGTACAGTAAAACCACGTGTGGCCGAAGGATCAGACGCCTTTGTTAGCTTTCCTTGGAATTAACAAAGAGGACAACCAAAATAGGATCAGCAACGGACAGGTTAGGGAGGTTTTCCTCTGCTCTCAAGACACTAACCGCTACATGGGATCATTGCATGTCGAGTGATATTGATATACTCTTTGCTCTTTCCCTAACGTAACCGGCACTCGACCAAGTATGTCTGGAGAAGGTGTAGGTAGCTAAAAAAAAAAAAATCAATTCTTGTTGATCTCAATATAATCTGAAGAAACCGTGCTCCCTAGAGAGGAGAAGCAGGATCTTCTCGGTAGGCTATTGGAGAAAAAGCGATGGGCCACCCGTAAAAGATACATAAGATTCCGGCAACCTTGTATGATTTTCCGAAGTGCTTTCCGGTTATAGCATAAACCTAGTTGTTTGTACCACATTCTGCGAGCCGAGGCTTGTATCTGAGTACCATGTAAGAAGAGACCTGCAGTATAGCTGAAATAGGCAATATGGAAGGAATATTGAGTCTTCAAACGTGAAGATAGTTAGCACATCGAAAGTCAACCTCTACAATCCGAGCGACGACAGCGTACACCGCAACCGCTCCATTCTACTCTTGGCAATAGCCGTCAGCTCGAGGGTTCTAAATAGCCTGGTGGTTCGGTCAGCGAAGACCTGTGACGGCGAGGGGCGGGAATGTAACACCTATAATTGACCACGCAATCCGAGATGACGTGAGCTTAGTTACTTATGTCGAGATTCTTTTGGCATGCTTTCACAGTAGTGCTCCTCGCTTCTCAATCTATGCTTCGATTTTTTTCAATATATGGAGTGGTAAGATGGCCCTACAGGCTATTAGTCTTCCTGGGCATCTGATATACCGATATAGCAATGGGTCTGACCAGAATGACGGCTTGGAAAGCCCTTAGGTGCCAAGGGTTACGTTTCTAGTACATATCACGATATACAAGCATCTCAGACACTTAGGCCTCTACTTTGAAAGATGGTATATCTCTTCCATCCCAGGTGGGCTCCATGGCGTACTGTAGAGACTGGATCAATATCACTCTGGATGTATCAAGAATAGGGAATACCTGATATAGGTGACGAATTCCCAAAAG